ATAATAAAAATGTTTCTGTCACTAGTGTTATCCAAATGTTACCCTTTCTGACCTCTACAAATACCTCTCATTATAGTACAAGTACAAAAAGGCGTACAATAAAGCAAGAGGACATCATGTTGGCTTCCGTAGCCTCCAGGATGACCCCTTGCTGGTGCACTACATGGAGGTGGCTAGGATACAGAGTGATAAACTATACAAGAAGGATTACCACAAGTCCAAGCTGAAGTACCATTCCCCTGTGGACATGCTGAGTGTTGTTCATGCTAAGCAGGCTACGGCTGCTCAAACCTTTGCTGGATACAGGCAGATCATTACACATTATAAAGTTCTGTCTGATGCCATGAACCTAGAGCTAGCCCGCAACATGCAGGCGATCGCAAGTGATGTGAGTCGGGATTGTGTCATTGTATTTTAAATGTTTAATATGTTTTGATTTCCATAAAAAGCTAGTCTTTTTCAATTAGATTTTTCATGCTCGATTTGATGGCATTCTCTCTAATTCTGCAGAACATCTACAAATCTGAGTATAACAGTTACATCAAAGGAGTTGGATGGATTCCCATTGGATCTCTGGATGTGGAGAAAGCGAAGACTGCTAGCCGGATAGGCAGCGAGAAACTGTACCGCACACATCCTAGTAACTTCAAGTTCACTAAAGACATGGATTCCATGGATCTGGTCCTAGCTACGGCCAACAATGAAATCAAAAACAAAGTAAAAGTTGAAACCATTTTACTTGACACTGTGCTTTGCTTTTGATTATCTTGACTATTATCTTTTTCGACACACATAATTAATAATAGCCAGTATGTTTCAGAATAATTTAAAATGGACCCATTTATTCTTCCTTCAGCAAAAGTATATTGCAGCCTGGGAACAGGACAAAACCAACATTCACATTATGCCAGATTCAATGGAAGTGGCCCTTGCTCGTCAAAATAAACTTAACTACAGTGAGGTTAGTGATGTCGCCAGGTTCATAATTATTGATTGATTGCAAACAGTAACTGTCATTAAGTCACAGTTTTTAAATAATTTTTTCATATTCTTCTTTAGAAACTATACAAACTTGCCAATGAACAAGCAAAGAAAAAAGGTTACGATCTACGTGCTGACGCCATCCCAATTCAAGCTGCAAAAGCATCATGTGCAATTGCTAGTAATGTAAGTTTTTTTTTTCTTATTGGACCCAGCATTTGATTACTGTGTACTTAACAGAATGTAATGACATTTTAATGGACTTTTCACAGTACAAGTACAAGACTGGTTATCGTAAGCAAGTTGGTCATCACATTGGAGCCCTCAGCGTCCAGGATGATCCTCTGCTCATGCTGGCCTTGAACTCAGCTAGGATTGCTAGTGATGCTCTCTACAAGAAAGACTTCAACAAGTCCAAGACCAAGTTCCACCTCCCAGTGGACATGTTATCTTTTGAGTTGGCCAAGAAGAACCAGATCCAGGTCAATGATGCCAATTACAGAACCTACCTGCACAACTGGACCTGCCTGCCTGACTCCAATGACGTTGTCCAGGCCAGACAAGTCTATGACCTCCAGAGTGACGTAAGTCTGATTTTTCTGCAATTTTGTACATATATAAATAAGGCTGATGGCTCATCCTTATGAGGCTTGTAGGCACTCTTTTCACACATGTCTGCTCTTAGGCGGTGTACAAGGCAGATCTGAAGTGGCTAAAAGGTCTCGGATGGGTCCCCATTGGTTCACTTGATGTTGAGAAAGTGAAAAAGGCTGGAGAAGTCCTAAGTGAAAAAAAGTATCGTCAGCACCCAAGCAATTTCAAGTTCACTTGCACAACTGAAGACATGCCACTGGTCTTGGCCAAAGCCAATAATGAAATTATGAACAAGGTATCTTTACATTTGATATCTAGACCCATATGGAAAATATCTAAATTATTGTTTGTGACATCAATTTCGGTGCTTAATTCTCTCTTCATTCTGGCAGTCAAAATATATTGAAGCTTGGAACAATGATAAAACAAAGATTCACATCATGCCAGACGCAATGGACGTGGTTCTTGCAAAGCAAAACAAAGTCAACTATAGTGAGGTCAGTAATTCAAATTTAGAGTTGAGTATTCAGTTGTATATAAGAGTATTTTTTTTTACATTTAAGCAAATATTCTAAATATTAACCATGAGTCATATACTGTACAGATTAAGAGCAATGAGCACTGGTTTTAAGACAACAAAAGATAAATAATATTCTGCTGTTTCCAAGTGTGTTCAAATACTTTTTTTCTGATTTGCTCTGCAGAAACAATATAAACTTGCCAATGAACTGGCCAAGAAGAAGGGTTATGATTTGCGCAATGATGCCATATCTATCATCGCAGCCAGAGCCTCCAGGGACATTGCTAGTGACGTAAGTACAACAAACTCATTAGGCAATATGTGACACATTGAGCATATACTGTCATTTGCTACACTAAGGATATTTTCTTTCTTTGCAGTACAAGTACAAGACTGGTTATCGTAAGCAAGTCGGTCATCACATTGGAGCCCGCAGCGTCCAGGATGATCCTCTGCTCATGCTGGCCTTGAACTCAGCTAAGATTGCTAGTGATGCTCTTTACAAGAAGGACTTCAACAAGTCCAAGACCAAGTTCCACCTCCCAGTGGACCTGCTGTCTCTTGAGCTGGCCAAGAAATGTCAGATCCAGGTCAATGATGCCAACTACAGAACCTACCTGCACAACTGGACCTGCCTGCCCGACTCCAATGATGTTGTCCAGGCCAGACAAGTCTATGACCTCCAGAGTGACGTACGTAATATCCAGCTTCTGTTAAGCAATAATCATTTATCCATTTCTGGATCTTTATGGAATTGACTTTCTGTTTTATACTTTAGTTTGTATTGGAAAGAGGAATTGCATCGGTCTCTGTTGTCTTCTTAATGTTGAAAAAGAAATAAAGCTACAGAGATACTGATGAATAAACTATATTGAGTCACTAACAGGTATTCTTTCCATATATATGTCTGCTCTTAGGCGGTGTACAAGGCTGATCTGAAATGGCTTCAAGGTCTCGGATGGGTTCCCATTGGTTCAGTAGATGTTGAGAAAGTGAAAAAGGCTGGAGAAATTCTGAGTGAAAGGAAGTACCGCCAACACCCAAGCAACTTCAAATACACCATGACAACTCAAGACATGCCGATGGCCTTGGCTAAAGCCAACAATGATGTCATGAACAAGGTAACTTCTGAACTGATAAAACATATGCCTATGTAATTTTCTAATTTATTTTAAACAGTTAATGTGTGTGTGTTAAATGTTTTTGTTGGTATTTTTCATTTCATACTCCTATCTGACAGCAACAATATGTTGATGCATGGAACAAAGACAAGTCAAAGATCCATATTATGCCAGATGCTATGGACATTTTACTCGCAAAACAAAACAAGGCCAACTACAGTCTGGTAAGTATGACACAACATTGGCCTCTTTGTGGTGCATAATGGATGTTCTTGATTAATAAATAATACATTATTTTCTACTTTCTTTAAATAAAATAACTGTTTGCTTGAATGTTTTCTAAGAAATTATACAAGCTTGCAAACGAGGAAGCTAAAAAGAAGGGCTATGACATGCGAAATGATGCCATCCCCATCAAAGCAGCAAAGGCCTCCAGGGACATTGCCAGTGATGTGAGTATTTTGAATTATAGCATCTGAAAGTGAACAAAACATTCCATGGAACTAACTAATGCCTTAAACCGCTCTTTCTTTTAAATAGTACAAGTACAAGACTGGTTATCGTAAGCAAGTTGGTCATCACATTGGAGCCCGCAGCGTCCAAGATGATCCTCTGCTCATGCTGGCCTTGAACTCAGCTAAGATTGCCAGTGACGCTCTCTACAAGAAGGACTTCAACAAGTCCAAGACCAAGTTCCACCTCCCAGTGGACCTGCTGTCTCTTGAGTTGGCCAAAAAATGCCAAATCCAGGTCAATGATGTCAACTACAGAACATACCTGCACAATTGGACCTGCCTGCCCGACTCCAATGATGTTGTCCAGGCCAGACAAGTCTATGACCTCCAGAGTGACGTAAGTATGCTACATGTAGACATGCCACATTCAGGATTTGAGAAGTAAGATCTCCATTTTTCAAATACCCAGTTTATGGAGGCATATCGTTTCACTACTTAATGCTCATTTTTATGCTATGTTTGTTCTCAGGCGGTGTACAAAGCTGATTTAAAATGGCTTCAAGGTCTCGGATGGGTTCCCATTGGTTCGGTTGATGTTAAGAAAGTGAAAAAGGCTGGAGAAATCCTGAGTGAAAGGCAGTACCGTCAGCACCCAAGCAACTTCAAGTTCACTTGCACAACTGAAGACATGCCTCTGGTTTTGGCGAAAAACAATGCAAGCATCATGAACAAGGTAGCCTGCTTTGATCAACAGCATAAATTTCTTCTATTTTCCAATGTAATATGTAATGATACTTTGCATATATGTTTTTTTTTCCCTTACACTATAGAAAAGCTATGTGGAAGCTTGGGAAAAGGATAAGACCAAGATCCACGTCAAACCAGATACAATGGAGATAGTGCTTGCTAAACAGAACAAAATTAACTACAGTGTGGTGAGTCATTCATTTTGAGTCTCGAATTGAAGATGCGAAGTTATGTTTGATTTTCCTCATATTTCCTGATCCTATTCCAGAAACAATATAAGCTTGCCAATGAGGAGGCCAAAAAGAAAGGCTATGACATGCGTGGTGATGCCATTCCTATAAAAGCAGCTAAAGCCTCTAGGGATATCATCAGTGATGTGAGCACTCTCTTCCTTTGTTCTTCATTCATAGACTTATAATTTATGGTCCAGAATGTTTAAAAATGTTCATTTCGATTTTTAACTATTTTTATTGTTCTTTAATCCTTCAACTGTAGTACAAGTACAAGACTGGTTATCGTAAGCAAGTTGGTCATCACATTGGAGCCCTCAGCGTCCAGGATGATCCTCTGCTCATGCTGGCCTTGAACTCAGCTAGGATTGCTAGTGATGCTCTCTACAAGAAAGACTTCAACAAGTCCAAGACCAAGTTCCACCTCCCAGTGGACATGTTATCTTTTGAGTTGGCCAAGAAGAACCAGATCCAGGTCAATGATGCCAATTACAGAACCTACCTGCACAACTGGACCTGCCTGCCCGACTCCAATGATGTTGTCCAGGCCAGACAAGTCTATGACCTCCAGAGTGACGTGAGTCTGATGAAAGTCCTCTTGACTTTTATTGACGTTTCTTTTTACAGTCATGTCAAATTTTTCATTCTTTTTTGCATGACCATTTAGGCGGTGTACAAGGCTGATCTGAAATGGCTTCAAGGTCTCGGATGGGTTCCCATTGGTTCAGTAGATGTTGAGAAAGTGAAAAAGGCTGGAGAAATCCTGAGTGAAAGGAAGTACCGCCAACACCCAAGCAACTTCAAGTTCACTTGCACAACTGAAGACATGCCACTAGTTTTAGCTAAAAATAATGCTACTAATAATAACAAGGTAAATCTGCTCAGTATGCTTCTCAACACAAGAACCCTAACAAATAGCTTAAAGGTTTAAACGTCTGACATCTAATTTTATTCAACTCTTATAGAAACTTTACACTGAAGCCTGGGACAAGGATAAAACCAAAATCCATGTTATGCCTGACTGTATGGACGTTCTGTTGGCAAAGCAGAACAATATAAATTACAGTGAGGTATGTATATGTCTTAAAAATGTAATTTTCCCCCCATAAAAACTATTTAAACCTGTAGTAATGACACTCTCTGTAAAATATTTTCCAATTTTAGAAAAGTTATAAACTTGCCAACGAAGAATCTAAGAAGAAGGGCTATGATTTGCGCAGTGATGCTGTTGCTATCAAAGCAGCTAAGGCATCCAGGGATATCATCAGTGATGTGAGTACTTATTAGAACATAATTTGTGTCAAACACACTTTACTGTGCACAATTACCTTCTGAAACCATTTTAAAATTCTTTTTAGTACAAGTACAAGGCTGGTTATCGTAAGCAAGTTGGTCATCACATTGGAGCCCGCAGTGTCCAGGATGATCCTCTGCTCATGCTGGCCTTGAACTCAGCTAAGATTGCCAGTGACGCTCTCTACAAGAAGGACTTCAACAAGTCCAAGACCAAGTTCCACCTCCCAGTGGACCTGCTGTCTCTTGAGCTGGCCAAGAAATGTCAGATCCAGGTCAATGATGCCAACTACAGAACCTACCTGCACAACTGGACCTGCCTGCCCGACTCCAATGATGTTGTCCAGGCCAGAAAAGTCTATGACCTCCGTAGCGATGTACGTTTGTCAAACTAAAATGTCATTCAAATGTTTGTACAGATAGTTTTCAATTAAATATGAATTGTATAGTTCTGCAAAGTCACATTTCGTCTCCATCTCAGGCTGTGTACAAAGCGGACATGGAGTTTATGACTGGTGTAGGATGGGTCCCGATTGGCTCGCTTGACGTCCTGAAAGCAAAGAAAGCAGCTGAGATTCTCAGCGAGCGACTCTACAGACAGAAACCAGACACATTTAAATATACACAAGACATGCAGTCCATGCCTTTGGTGCTTGCCAAGGCAAATGCCCAAGTTATGGATCAGGTTAGTAAAATAAAAAATCATATGATCGGAATCCTACTAAATGTCAACTAAATTCTCTGGAGAGCAATTTAGTCACAATATCAATTACTACATAAAGTTTAATATATACAGTATATTAGTTTGTATAAATTATTATTTTCATTTTATTTTGGATTCACTGCAGGATGTTTTAATTTTCCACAATAACAACTCTCACAGCATTGAAATTGTCACTAAAACCTTTTTTTTCCTCCCCATTTTAGCATCAATATCATGCAGCATGGGAGCGTGACAAGATCAAGATCCATATCCCTCCTGATACCCCAGAGATTGTGCTCTCAAGTGCTAATGCATTGAACAATAGTAGGGTAGGTATCACTTCTGAATGTTTGTTCTTTCTTCATTATATATTTGTTTTAGTTGTTAAACTAAACATCTCAAATTCATGCATTCCGTTTGATTTCCAAAATTAGTCATATTCATTGTTTCAGTTTAAAAAAAAAAAACGAAATAAAAATTTTGCTTGCAGAAACTGTACAGACAAGCAGTTGAGGACATCTTCAGGAAAGGCTATGACCTCAAACCTGATGCTGTCGCCATCAAAGCTGCTAAAGCATCCAGAGAAATTATTAGTGATGTAAGTATATACCTTCTTAACATTTGCTAATATTACAAGCTGATTGATACAGTTTCTATTTTGTTGCCCTGTCATATAAATATAAATAGGAGCCATCTTTAAAGCTAAAGCATCATGTGCCATTGCTAGTAATGTATGTTTTTTCTTCTTCATTGGACCCAGCATGTAATTACTGTGTACTTACTTGAATGCAATGGATGTTTTAATGGACTTTTCACAGTACAAGTACAAGACTGGTTATCGTAAGCAAGTTGGTCATCACATTGGAGCCCGCAGTGTCCAAGATGATCCCTTGATCATGCTGGCCTTGAACTCAGCTAAGATTGCCAGTGACGCTCTCTACAAGAAGGACTTCAACAAGTCCAAGACCAAGTTCCACCTCCCAGTGGACCTGCTGTCTCTTGAGCTGGCCAAGAAATGTCAGATCCAGGTCAATGATGCCAACTACAGAACCTACCTGCACAACTGGACCTGCCTGCCCGACTCCAATGATGTTGTCCAGGCCAGGAAGGTCTACGATCTTCAGAGTGATGTGAGTTTCTGTGGAATTTTAATTTGTAACCATAATAAACAGACCTACTGTATACTACCAGCATTGTCTTTTTTTACCGTTTCTCATGTATTTTCTGCCATCAGGCTGTGTATAAGGCTGATATGGAATGGATCAGAGGTACAGGATGGGTTCCGATAGGCTCAGTTGATGTAGAGAAGGCTAAAAAGGCTGCTGAGATTCTGAGTGAAAGGAAGTACCGACAGTATCCAAGCAACTTCAAGTATACAAGCAAGACAGATGCCATACCTTTTGCTCTTGCCCAGGCTAATGCCAAGATCATGGACAAGGTATTTTTTTCCTCGAAAATTTTACCAATCTGTGTAAAAGTTCAAAATAAATGGCTGTTTAAAATGACTGACTGTTGCAGGCTGAGATTTGTACACCATAGGTGAATGTGTCTAACTTTTTGTCCTCATTATTATTGCATTGCAGAATGCATATGTTGATGCCTGGAATAAGGAGAAGATCCATATCCATGTCATGCCAGACACCCCTGAGATCATTCTTGGAAAACAAAACAAACTCAACACAAGCATTGTAAGTACAGCAGCTCTGTTTTGTAGTGACCAATAAATCAGAAATAAATGCACACTAGTTTAGTTTTAAATCCTGTTAAATCAATATGTGTTGCTTTATCATGTTCTTTGCAGAAATATTACCGTCAAGACTATGAGAACAGCCTTAAGAAGGGCTACTTCCTGCCTAAGGATGCTGTCGCAGTGAAATCTGCCAAGGCCTCCAGAGACATCATTAGTGATGTAAGTCTTATTGTGGATCTTATCTAACACATTAGACACATACTGTTAAATGATAGTGCTCAAATTTCTTTTATGTATTAAAACCTCCCAGTACAAGTACAAAGTTGGATACAGGAAGCAGCAAGGGCACCACATTGGAGCCCTTAGCATCCATGATGATCCCTTGATCATGCTGGCCTTTAACTCAGGCAAGATTGCTAGTGATCTTCTGTACAAGAAAGATTTCAACAAGTCCAAGACCAAGTTCCACCTCCCAGTGGACCTGCTGTCTCTTGAGCTGGCCAAGAAATGTCAGATCCAGGTCAATGATGCCAACTACAGAACCTACCTGCACAACTGGACCTGCCTGCCCGACTCCAATGACGTCGTCCAGGCCAGGAAGGTCTATGATCTGCGCAGTGATGTACGTATATGCTTTGTTTCACACACTGTGCTGTTTACAGTGGTTTGTTATATTGCTACTTTAACGTCTTTGTTGTAAACTTTCAAACTAGGCTGTATACAAAGCTGATCTTGAGTGGATCCGTGGATGTGGCTGGATGCCGCAAGGATCTATTGACGTGCTCAAAGCCAAGAATGCTCAGGCTATCCTTAATGAGAAACTGTACCGCCAGCCTCCCAGCTCTGTCAAGTTCACAAGTGCTGTGGACCTGCCTGCTATTGTTCTGGCCAAGCAAAATGCTGACATCCTCAGCGATGTAAGATTATTTTCTTTAATTGCCTTTAAAAATGAATTAATTAATGTAATAGATGTGTCTTTTTCATTTTTGCGTCATTATGTGGCAAACAAGGCCTTTAACCTTTTTTATTTGAATTATTTTGTTCTCAGAGGAAATACAGAGAAGCATGGGAAAAAGATAAGACATCAATCCACATTATGCCAAATACACCTGCCATTGAGTTGTCCAGAGCCAATGCCATTGCCGTCAGCAATGTAAGCAAACTCACATGCAAGATTGCTGAGTGTTACTAAAATGAACTCTACTTTTTGAGCGTATTATGCTAGTAAATTATTGTGTTATGAAATTCCATTTTCTTTTGTCTTGTTGCAGAAAATGTATACCAAAGACTGGGATACTACGAAAGCAAAGGGATACCACATCAAAGAGGATGCCGTGTCTGTGATCAAGGCTAAAGTCTCCAGAGATATAGCCAGTGACGTAAGACATCACTAAGACATGTTTTTTTCTGTTTGTTTTCTGAATTTGCTAGTATTTTCTATCTCTTATATTGTGAAATATCTTGATTAGCTAGCTTAAATTGTGTCTTTTAAATCCCCTTTCTGTTATTTAAGAGTAATGTAAATATGAATGTTTACAACTGATTTGATCATCTTTCAAATGCAGTACAAGTACAAGGCTGGTTACCGTAAGCAAGTTGGTCATCACATTGGAGCCCGCAGCGTCCAGGATGATCCTCTGCTCATGCTGGCCTTGAACTCAGCTAAGATTGCCAGTGACGCTCTTTACAAGAAGGACTTCAACAAGTCCAAGACCAAATTCAACCTCCCAGTGGACCTGCTGTCTCTTGAGTTGGCCAAAAAATGCCAGATCCAGGTCAATGATGCCAACTACAGAACCTACCTGCACAACTGGACCTGCTTGCCCGACTCCAATGATGTTGTCCAGGCCAGGAAGGTCTATGATCTGCGTAGTGATGTAAGTTGAGCTTTGATTGTGTTTAAAAAAATCTATAAAGTACAGTGTTATACATTGTTTCATTTGATTGTTTTTGATGTTTAGGCTGTGTATAAGGCTGACCTGGAGTGGCTCAGGGGATGTGGATGGATTCCCCATGAGTCTGTTGAAGTTGTCAAAGTGAGGAATGCCCAAAAGATTCTGGCTGAAGTAAGTCCTTGGGAACTATATACTGTAATTATTTCTACCAGTAAGTTTTTCTTAATTTTCTTTTCAAAGGATGCAATAGAGAAATGTAATGAATTGCTTTCTTTTTTTTTTTTTTTGTCTGATTCACAGAGAGGCTACCGTGTGAAACTGGATGAGCAGAAATATACAACACCCATTGAAAGAGTTGACTTTGTGTGCTCCAAAAATGCTGCTGATGTGCTCAATGAGGTAAGTAGTAAGATATATATTATACAATCATCCAGTCATAAAAAGGAAAACAACATTATTTTTTTATTTTCATATATGTAAAAAAAACATTATAACTTCAATTTATAAGCCATATTATTCAATTTTCTTCTTAATATTGAATGGATGGTGTGACATATTCAGGGCACACTTCAAACATGTGAATAAATACAACCTTAAACCAAGAAATTTGTCACCTAATCTAGCTTTCTAAAAAACCTGACATTGTGTACTATGAATATTGTTAGCTCTGTGATGAATTGCATATGTTTCTCTGTTGTAAGTTGCTTTGGATAAAAACATAGTATAAGTGGATAAATGTATATTTAAATACTTGATTAATTTGTCTAAACATTTCAACATAATATATAAATATTTTAATTAATAATAGAATAATATACACAAAATAAAGCAAGAGTGTGAGGAAAAACACATTTTAAAGGTCAATTTTAAATTATTTAAGAATATAAAAATAAGAAAATAAAAAACAAGAAGAAATAAAACTGAATAAAGAAATAAACGTTTATTTTAAAGATGGAAATATAAAAGTGAGTACAATAAGCATTGTTTTGTCATAGTTACTCAGACAAAATAACTATTACAGTATATTTATTTAACAAAATCATGTTCTCTCCACTGAAATGCTGTCATCCCCAAGACATTAGTTTCACATGTGGTTTTCAGATGTGACTGTTACCTAAGTATCCTTTTTTTGTTCTCAGGCTAAGTACCGTGAGGCCTGGCACCAGGACAAGACTAAATACACGTTGACAGACTCTCCAGTTTTGGCTACAGCCAGGGAAGTAGCCAAAATGTACCACCCGGTAATGCATTTTTCTTTTTGAGAAATGAATGCTGTCTGTAATGATTGCTTAAAGTTGAGCAGTAACAAAAATGTCATTTTAAACATCACTCATAGCATTTCTACACCAAAAGCTGGGACAAGACCAAGTCCACATCATACTTCATGCCCGGAGATGCGGTTCCGATTAAACAATGCATTCAGACCTCAAAAGTACAGAGTAATGTAAGTAAATAAATAAAACTATACCTAAAACCATTTCACCTTAATTTTAATCATGCACACAAATAAATTATCCTCTTTTTTTCCAGTACAAGTACAAGGCTGGTTATCGTAAGCAACTTGGTCATCACATTGGAGCCCTGAGCGTCCAGGATGATCCTCTGCTCATGCTGGCCTTGAACTCAGCTAGGATTGCTAGTGACGCTCTCTACAAGAAAGACTTCAACAAGTCCAAGACCAAGTTCAACCTCCCAGTGGACATGCTAGCATTTGAACATGCAAAGAAATGCCAGATCCAAGTCAATGATGACAACTACAGAACTCGCTTGCACCAGTGGACATGCTTGCCTGATCAAAATGACGTCATTCAGGCCCGTAAAGCATATGACTTAGCCAGTGACGTAAGTATTGGGTGAAAAGGCTTTTAAATCAAAATATGTTTTCTTGTTTATTAAAATATGAGAATGAAAGTAAAGTTTTGTTTTAAAGGGGTCATATGATGCGATTTCAAGTTTTCCTTTCTCTTTGGAGTGTTACAAGCTGTTCGTGAATAGATAAGATCCCTGAAGTTGCAAAGACTAAAGTCTCAAAACCAAAGAGATATTCTTTATCAAAGTTAAGACTCTGCCACGCCCCCCTAAAACGGCTCGTTCTAACACGCCCCCACATATCTACATCACTATGTGGAAATATTAGCATAATGCGGCCCAAATGTGCACGCAAAGAAAGAAGACGTGGTTTCAGTAACCGCAGTTAGTGTTGATGCAGCATGTCAGGGAGACGGTGTGTTTCTAGGCGAAAGCAAAAGCACTTTATTTGGCCTTCCGAAAGTAGATGCATTTAGGAATCTTTAAGATTACTTACAACAGAATAGCAATGCATTTTATGGACGACCGTTTCGTGAACTTAGGAGAGGAGGTAATTCTGACTTTGCTATGACAATCTGGCGCTTCTGAATCAGCTACTGTTTTGTTATTAGATTAAGTATTTGCTATTGACTGTTCAAATGCGGAGTTTTGCGCATCGTGCGTGCGCGAGTGAGCGAGCGAGAGAGAGAGAGATCACAGTGGAGTCAGCTGTCTTAACCGTGGCTTGTGTACTGCAAACACATACCAGCTTCATCACTGTGTCTGCCACGTGACTCTGTTCCCCTTTCGGGCTCTGTCTTTACATTTATTTTGAAAGATGAAGCTCGCGATTATGGTAAAGGGCGTTACATTTCCGACGAGTGCTTGCCACAATGCACTGGGTCAGCTGGCCAATCAGAGCAGACTGCACTTGTCGGAAGGAGGGACTTTGTAGAAAACAAAGCGTTTGAGAGAGGCGGGGCATAGAGGACCTACAATAATGTACAGTATTTGAAAAATAATGTGTTTTTTGAACATTAAAGCATGTCAACATATTCTGTTACACCAAATACACAAAATAATGATCTTTAAAAAAGCAACATATGACCCCTTTAAGTAAAGTATTTTATAATAATAAATATAATATCATATAATACTTTCCTTCCAGAATGTCTACAAAGCAGATCTGGAATGGTTACGTGGTTGTGGATGGGTGGCTGCTGATTCTGTGGATCATGTCAAAGTCCGAAAAGCACAACAGGTTCTGAATGATGTAAGTTTGACCAAACAGTTTTTTGTGCAAAGTTTCAGTTATAACGCAAACCTCCATTAAATTATAACAATGCCTGTTTCTTTTCCCCATGCAGAGACTTTACAAGAAGGATGCTAAGGAAAACTTTGGCAAATTTACCCACATTGTGGATCGCCCTGAGGTTGTTCTTGCAAAGGTTAACGCCTTTAACCTCAGCGATGTAAGTGTGTCTCAGATTTGGGCAATTTCATCTTTATAGGGAAAAACTGGTGTGGAGGGGTTAACTTATCTACCATGTCAATCTTTCTGTTGTTACTCAGCTGAAGTACAAAGAATCATTTAACCTGGAGAAGGGCCACTACATTGGATCTGATGATACACCACAACTGGCTCACTGTAGAGAGGTCGCAAATATGATCAGTGAGGTAACAATGCCTATTCCAGACTTATTTGTATATATTTGCATTTTATTTATGTGATGCATTACATTCAGAATGTTTTCTTGTTGTTATTCTAGAAATTGTACAAAGTCAGCTGGGATGAGAGCAAAGCCACCGGCTATCAGCTGAACCATGAATATATACCAGTACAACAAGCCAAGAGGACCAGAGACATGATCAGTAATGTAAGTATCAAAAATGAATAAATATTAAATAGAATAGACCCTTTACTTATTGCTACAGAGCAGTGACAGGGCAGTACCACATATGTTTAATAAAGTCTTTTTAATATGGTACCCCTGTTGATGTTTTTTTTTTTGCTTCAAACACTGTTAAAAACAAATTGAGATTTGATGTATACAGTTGTTAATTGTTTCTTGTATTGAAATACTGCAGTATAAGTACCTTGGTACTCATGAGAAAGCCAAAGGCCACTACATGGCTTCAACACTGGCTGACTTCCCTGAGGTGATTCGCTTTGGTCAAATTGAGAAAATGAAAAATCTGGTGAGTTGTTTTTATTATTACTATGCCTGAGTTCTAAGGTCGCTGTTCTTTGATTTTCACTTGTTAACATTTATATTTTAATTCCTCATTAACCAGACTTTTTTGATCTGTCCAACAGAGAGACTACCACAAAGCCTACAATGAAACCAAAACTAAGCTCCACATTCCTGCTGATATGATCAGCCATGTGGTTGCCAAGAAATGCCAGGAAATCCTGAGTGATGTTCTATACCGTACACACCTGCACCAGTGGACATGCCACCCTGAACAGAATGATGCCATCCGTGCACGCAAGGCCAATGAGATCTTGAGTGATGTAGGTTATGATTACAGTGATATTTAGACCGTGTCGGGTTTGTTGAATGGCTTCATTTGACTAATTTCTCCCTGACAGGTGTTCTACAAAGATGACCTGAACTGGATGAAGGGCATTGGCTGTTACTCCTGGGACACTCCTGAGATTGTACGTGCCAAGAAGTCATATGAGCTGCAGAGTGATGTGAGTAACATTTTTGAGGCTCATCTAGCCATTGACAAAGAAGAGACATTATGTTTTCACCTGTTTGAAGGTTTAATGTTTGTTTCCACACAGATTAAATATAAGGCAGAAGGCAAAAAGGAGTGGAACAACTACTCCATTGTGACAGACACACCTGTATATGTGACTGCTGTCCTGGGCCACACTTGGGCCAGTGAGGTTAGTACTCCCATTAATCTCCCTTTAATTGTTCACTGAAGTGCTTGAGTATTATAAAGAGCACATTACTTTTTAGTTTACTTGGTAATGTGCTGCATATTTTATGTTTTATCCACAGCTGAACTACAGAGAGGCATATCATAAGGAGAAACACATTTACACCACTGTTCTGGACACCTGTGACTACGCAAGATGCTGTAACCTGAAGGAGATCTACAGCACCGTAAGCCTGCAAGAAAAGCTCTAAAATGCTGAGTTACTGGTTTTATTTGTTGTCCCAGTTTCTGAAATATCTTTGTGTACATTCAGAAAGCCTATTCTGCGGCTTGGGACAAGGTCAAGGCCAAGAGCTACAGCATCCCTCACGATTCCCATGCCTTAGTCCATGCCAGACAACAGAAGGTCATCCTGAGCAATGTGAGTCCCTTCTCCAATTCTTACTAATGCCTTCATAGAAAGAGAACTGTCTGATTGTCCTAAACATACTAACATTAAATCTTCGTTGGATTCTATAGAATAAATACAAGGAAGATTATGAGAAGTTCAAGACCCTGTACAGCCTGCCTAAGTGTCTTGAGGACGACCCTGCTACTGCAAGATGTATCAAAGCTGGAAAACTGGTTCTGGATGTGAGTCAAGCATCAGCTGAGGTCCAGTTTCGTAACTTACTAAATGTCAAAATAATTAAAACTTTGTAATGCTTTTTCCATTAGCGCCTGTACAAAGACAAATATGAGAAGACCAAGGCAAAGGTCCATGTACCTCCCGACATGCTTGACATTGTATCCGCACGCAGTACTCAGAAGACTGTCAGTGGGGTTGACTACCGTAAATATCTGCACCAGTGGATCTGCCTGCCTGACATGCAGGTGTACGTGCACGCCCGGAAGGTCAACGAGCAACTGAGTGACGTGAGTTATACCTGTACATCCAAACACGCTTCATATTTTCATGTACTGTCATATGCAAATGCAAGTTAGGTTCCACTGGTTTAAATGAGATTTCTAACTGGTTTGGGGTCTTTTTGAAGCTGTAACCTTCACATTGATCTCATTTCAGATCTTCTACAAAGATGACCTCAACTGGTTGAAGGGTATTGGCTGCTATGCTTGGGACACTCCTGAGATTCTTCGTTGTAAGCAATCTATGAAACTGCAGAGTGAAGTAAGTATCATTTCATTTTCTTTCAGTTTACTCCTCCCTTTCCATCATCTCACATGTTGCCGTCTTCTCCTGTGTGCTGTTCTCTTTCAGAATCTTTACAGAGCTAAGGGAATCGAGCACTTTAAGGACTACACTGTGGTCACGGACACCCCTGTCTATGAAACATGCAAGCAGAGCGCTAAGAACTTGAGCGAGGTATCTCCTGAAAAACATGTATCAACTTACATTAAAGTGCCTTCAATTTAATTGAAGCAGAACCTTCTAACTCATATATTTCCTGTCTACAGCTTAACTACCGTCATGACTACGCCACAAACGTCATGGGTAAAAACACCGCTCCCGCTGTGACCGTCGATACAGAAAGGGCCCGTCAAGCCAACTACATCCAGAGCGACGTATGATGCCTCTTACAAGTACATAAAAATGTGTGCTGATCTCTCCGTTGATGTATGCTTCATATCACTTTCTTTCTTTCTTTCAGAACTTCTACAAAGAGGCCAATAATATGTTTATGCCCACCGGTTACACTCTGCCCTATGACACTCCCTTAAACAAACAGGCCAAGGCCAACAGCATAATCACCAGCAATGTACGAGAACACCTCCGTTTTCAAAATAAAAAAGCGATTTAATGTTATGAATACATCTCATCTGATGTTCCAATGTCTGTAGATGAAGTACAAGGAAGCCTATGAGCAGATGAAAGCCAGGAACTACAAACTAGATCCTGAAGGTGTAAACTTTGTCACCATCAGGAAGGCTAACAAGGTCACCAACCAAGTAAGTCCAAGATAAATATAAAGCTTTTCACTTTGGAAATGTAAACTTTGTCACAAACGATGATATTGACAAGGTTTCATTTTGTTATAGCGACTGTATCGTGAGAAATATGAGAAGGAAAAGGACAAGATCCACTCTGAGTATAACACACCAGAGATCCGACAGGTTAAGGCCACTCAACATGCAGTCAGTGATGTAAGTATGTCTTTATTATGAATACATGAGTTCTGTCTCGCATGTTATTCCACCAAAATGATTAGATTCTCTAATAATGGTTCTTTTCCACCTACAGCTGTGCTATAAGGAGAAGTACTACAACAGCAGAGGAACTCTTCTGTCCATGCCCATCACCCCAGAGCTGATGCACTGCTTCCACGTCAACGAGATCAACAGTGATGTAGGTGTCCCTCATACATGCATCTAAATTTACTACGGCATACTGCAAGCGATGCACACACAGTATTTCCCGCCTTGACATTTGCAGGTATGTTAACTGTGTTTATATCTTCTGCAGCTGAAATATAAAGAGGATCTGCATTGGCTGAGAGGTATTGGCTGCTTTATGGTGGACTCCCCTGAGATGGTCCGAATCCGTGAGATCACCAAGTTTAGAGTAATTATTCATTCACTTATTATCCTGCATGTCATGTTTCACTCATAATGGCTCATTTTGATTATTTTTGGTAATAATAAGGATTTTCTAAAAACCTATTTGCTAGAAATCCTATGACATTGATGCCAAGAAGAACTATTCCAACTTCAGTGTAGTCCTGGACACACCAGAGTACAAGCGTGTGACTGAACTCAAGACCCACATGAGTAATGTGAGTGATTTTATATCAGCCTTAGGCCTGACATCTCACTTCTAGACTCCATCATTCCTGTTTTAAAGCCTATCCACATTCTTAAATGTCTCTTCATCTGTTTCTATCCACAGATTGTGTACCGAGCTGAGGGCAATAAGGAAAAGACTAAATGTACCACTACTGTGGATGGCCTGGAAATTAAGAGAGCCAAGTGGGCACAGAGTCTGACCAACAAGGTAAATCACTTTTAGCCCTAACCCTAATTAAATCTAAATAATGACTTGTTATAATGTGTCAAATTAAGAGATCATGCTCAGGGTTCAGAATTAAATGGGTCAGGTTTTACAAATGACAGTATGACCCTCGCTGATATAACTGACAAAAGCGGTTTCCACTCAAAGATATCCGAAACATTAATTGAAGAAAACATCTGTCACAACTTAAGACTGGAATACACTACATGACTTTTGCACAGATTTGCAGTATTGACGAGTCAGCAACAGATTTTGGGCTGTCAGAATTGACAGATTTCATAGAAAATTGCATAGTGTATAATGGGCACAGACTCATTTTTTTTACTTCAGACTATGATTTCATCCAGTCTGAGAATGTCAAGCATATTTGATATTTTGAGCTGATTTTAGAATGTATACCATTGTATTGTTTTTATTTGCCATGCATCTCCTAACAACAAGCACGTATTTCTGTGTGAGTTTGTTGTGTTCAGAACGACTTGAAAGTCTGGTATTATGATCCTTATTCATTTAGTGTGTGATGCCCAGTTTTTTCTCTGTAACCATTTACAAAGTTAAAAAGTATATGATGCCTAGTGTTTTAAAATCTGTTCAGATTTTTAAGTTGTGTAGGGTATTTCAGCCTTTACGTGTCTTTTACCAACCGTTACTTTTATAAAAAATACCATCAGAAGTTTGACTAGTTCCAGTTCATATCCTGACACATACTGTACAGTAAGTGCAATATTCTTGGGATTAGCCAGTCATATGATGAACAAAATGACGTTTCCTCATTTTTGTGATAAGTGCAGTTTCCGTCAGAGAATGAGACTGGCTAATATGATGCTGTGAGTAACACAGTCACTTAATACAAAAGGGAAAAAAAAGCTACTGTAAAATAATCCTGTTGTCATGGTCACAAAAATATTTTTTTAACATTTAAAAAGATTAAAATAAATGTAAAACAGCATTTCATGGCTGGTAAGAAATATTTAACTTACCTGGTAAATTTTTTCAATTCACTGGAGAAAAGTAGATATTCACCATAAAATTGTTGTGACTTCACAGTTCCAGTACATTGATCTGGCATCCAAGGAGAGGGCCTTCTTCACCCCAGAATCACACACTCCCATCTTGGATCACGCCCGTTCCATGAAAGTGGTGTACAGTGAGGTAATTGGAGCTTTTTTTTTTACAACACTAATATCTTTTTACCACTAAATAACATGTGTTTGCAGACAAGCATGTAATTCATCTTTTGTATCATCGTTAGAAAAAGTACAAGGAACAGTATGAGAAGATGAAGCACAAGTATACTCCCATCCATGACACACCAATCCTGGTTCGTTCCAAGAAAGCCTACCTCAATGCCAGCGATGTAAGTCAACCAGATGCTTTATTTATTCTTTTATTGGCCTGTTCAATATCAGTAAAAGAGCCCTTCTAACAATCTACATCATTCCTCTCCAGCTGCGCTACAAGGAGACCTTTGAGCTGTCTAAGGGACACTACCACGCTGACAAGGACGCCCTGGATATTCTCTGTGCCAAGAGAGTCAGAGAAGACATCAGTGAGGTCAGTAGACTAAACTAAGACTTTTGGTTTGCTTTAAACATGAATGTGATTTAGTGAGGAATTCTGTCACTTACTTTCTCCTTTTACAGGTCAAATACAGGGAGAAGTACATCAGCACATTGGGCACCTGGAAGTCTATCCCCGACCGCCCTGAGTTCTTCCACAGCAAGATTGTGAGGGACTGCATCAGTGACGTGAGTATAACTATAAAGCGTCCTCTTGTTTCTGTAACGTGACAGCTCGCAGAGTCATTGACAGAAACTCATATTGCTGTTTAACCTCTCTCACATGTTCTTATCCAATTTAGATCAAGTACAAAGAGGATCTTGACTGGATCAAGGGCATCGGTTGCTACGTGTGGGACACACCTGCAATGGTGCATGCTGAACACAACAAGGCCCTCTACAGTGAAGTAATGAGAAACCACAATTTTATTCATTTCTACTCATTTCGGCTCATTTACTCAGTACTATGGTATATAGCAAAGCCTCCTCTTACTCTCATCTATCTGTTTTTGTTAACAGAGACTCTACAAAGCATCATTCGAGAAGAACAGAGCCAACTTCAAGTACACATGTGACACACCATTCTTTGAGGCTGCCAAGAACGCTTCACTTTTGATCAATGATGTAAGTCAATGAAAGCATGACTTCGTTTCATAATACTCTGGTATATTAATGGCTAAATACAATGCAAGAGTTGGAGAAGCAAGAAAAATACAAAATGTATGCCTTCATAACCTGTTTCTCTCCACTGCCTCTTTAATGGGTACTGCTTTAAAGGAAAACTATTACAACATGCCTATTACCATCTCAAATTGATGTCTGTTACTTTCATATGGCATGTTTTTTCTTTACTAAGATTTCACTTTGAGTTTACCTGTTATGACATTTTTCTCCCCTGAATGAGTGCTCATCTTTACTGCTCTCAAGGCAGTTGTCTATAACTCCTGTTTTGAAATCCTGAGCAGAGGTCCTACCGTGCCAACTATGAGAAGTCTAAGGATAAGTACACCATAGTTGTAGATGACCCTAGAAACGTCTTGGCTAAGGAGGTCAGCAAGTTGAGTCAGGTAAAGCCACCAGCTCCAGCCGCTCCCTACGGGTCCATCGCCTGTCACAGGGGCTCGAGCATGAGATCGTCTCTGATCCACTGGATGGCTCTGTCGCATGGCTACAATGTCACTCGATCGTGTCTCTTTCTCTCCCCTGATTTAGGTGTCTGCTAGTGTTCCAAAACCCAAACAGGACTTTTTTGAGTGTGCATAGCTTGAACTAAATCTGTGTGCTCCAGATACCGCTTCATCTGAACAGTTTGGTGGTTGAGTCATGAGTTAAGGGATAAGGTTAAGCTTACTCTTTTGAAATCTCTTATCTGGAGTATACAGTTTGGTAGAGCAACTCTACCTGGACTCTACCTGGAGCCACGTTCCGTCTCTGTCTTCATTTGTGGCATGATTTGTGTGTCTGTGTGTTTTCTCAATGGACAGGGAAAATATAAATTCAAGGCCAAGGAGTTACTCAAGAGCGGCTGCAATGAACTGCGCCGTCCTGACATTCTTGTAGCCATGTACAACTCTGGCATGTGGAGTAAGGTAACCATCTGCCCACTGGTAGTCCTCCAAGCCCCATAGAAATCTCATCTCTTCATCAATGCACCCCTAACTTCACATTTAATGGTCATATGCAGCCATTTACTGTCACTACTTTGGATTTTCTACCATACCCTGCTTTTAAAACATATCCACTGATCACTGTCCATAACTCCATTGAGTTTGCTAGGAAAAACAGGTAAAGCAATGTTTCAGTATACAGGTCGTATGTAGGAGAGACTGGCACCATGACACAGTATTACCATGCTGGCATGCATCAATGCAAGACAGCTATATAGCAGAGATAGATTTTAACTGAAAGTTAAACTATGTTAGGATAATGATGTTTTCATAAATGTCAGGTCAGGTCAATTTGTGGGAGCAGGATGTCACACGTTTTACCCTGAACTGTATTCACTGGAGTAAAAAGTGTGACAACTAGCCTGATCTCCGCTACTTTAAGGTGTCATGGTGAGGTTTTCCTCTAGTTTCTTTGAATCAGGTTATTATTTTACAATGAACAAATAAACAATTATGCATCGTTTAAATTAATTAATTAAAATAAAATGTAATCAAATCAAATCAATATGCCATGTTCAAAAGTTTGCAGAAGAATGAGCATAGAGATTAAGACATTATACGTTAGCAGTAAATTGTCGGTGTCTTTCTGAATACTGTTGCCTGACGCTGCTTTCCACTTCCATCTTTTGGCTCACTGCATATTGCATGTTCTCTGTTGCATGTATGTACTGTATGTGTGCATCTTTATGGACTGCTGAATATCCTAGTATCCATAAGCCATTATTTGCATGCTTTCCACTGGATGAATTTTGTGGATGGCAAATTTTAGTTTAACTAAAGTCTGTCATGATTAACCCTTCCCCCTTTAATGCATGATATTGCCAGTTATTATACTACTTGCCGTAACTTTTTAATAACTTAATAAAGATTCGGAAATGTGCTTTCCCTGATTATCATTTCTTGTCCATCACTTCCTGTAGTGGAAGTACAGAGAGCATTATGAACGTGCCAAGTCGAAGTACACCGCAGTGCTGGATACCCCTAATTATCAAGTTGCCAAGCGCAGCAAGCAGATCAGCGATGTGAGTATCATCACCATCTGCCTTCCATAATGTGGAAAGCATTTATACATACATATAGTAGATGTTCCTAATTTTCAGTGTCACTTGAGAATTACTCCAATTGTATATGAATGCATTCATCTGGCATCCCTGTTCTCCTTTTTAGATCATTTATAAGATGGAATACAACAAGACCAAAGCAACAAGTTACACTCTTGGACATGACACTCCCATGAGCCAGCACACGAAGAAGGTCAAGGAGATCACCAGCAATGTAGGTTTACCCTTCTTTACATATACAGAAAGGAACCAGTTTCTTTTTATGTCAGTATATACTTAATTTCAGACTTCGTTTTTTTGGGGGGTTTTTTTACAGCTGAAATACAAGGAAGTGTATGAAAGAAACAAGGCTCACATCAACATAGCACCTGACGCTCACGACATTCGTGCCGCCAAGGAAGCCTACAAGAACATCAGCAATGTAAGTCTGCATTGATCTGCACTGAGCATCTATGAAACTGAATTGCAAGTCAGCGTCTCATTATGCATCTTATTATTTGTGATTTTCCTCCTTGTAGCTTGACTACAAGAAGAAGTATGAGGCCACCAAGAACAAATGGATATGGACTGTGGACAGACCTGATTTTATTCATGCAGCTAAGAACAGCTTCCAGCAGAGTGATGTTCGTGCCACTCAATGTTCTATAACAGTTTCAGTTGAGAAAATAATTCCAGATTAATGAATTGATTTGTTTGTAATTCACAGGTTGAGTACAAGTACGATAAGGAAATGTTGAAGGGCTGTGTAATGTCTGTTCCTGATGATAAATACACCATTCTGGCTAAGCAGAACACTGAGCTCGCCAGCGATGTGAGTGACATTTTCCCTATACATTTTACATTTTTGAGAATCAACATACAACATATGACTAGTTGAACTAATGGAAAATGTGACGGTTCTTCAGGTGAAATACAAGGAGAAGTATGAGAAGGCCAAGGGCCATTACATTGCTGTCCATGACACTCCTCAAATCCTTCATGCTAAATCAGTGGCTAAACTTGTGTCTGAGGTACGGCACAATGTAATGTTGTAATGTGTGCAGATTCATTAAAGCGCCGTAAAATATTTGGAAAATTCATGTTTTGCAACTTTTTCTGCAGACCAAATACAAGGAGGCCAGCAAAAAGGATCTCCAGTCAGGCGGCTTCACCACTCTTGCTGAAACCCGCGAGACTGCCCACAGCAAAGAGGTTGCCAAAATCACAAGTGCTGTAAGTCTAAATACTCTTTTTTTTCACCCCTTTATTAAAAGGAACTTCATTTGTAGCGATTGTATTGTGATTGCCAATCGTAATATCACGTGAACTTTTCACAGAAATTGTACAAGCAGAAGTTTGAGAAGGAGAAAGGCAAGTCTAATTACAACCAAATGATTGCTCCTCCTGATGTGCAACATGCCATGGAAGTGGCCAAGAACCAAAGCAATGTAAGGAACTAAAATGTAGCTGCCTCAGATAATAGTCTCAGGCAGAGTTTATTTTAATTCCCACGTCTCTCTTTATATAGATCGCCTATAAGCAGGAGGCTAAAGCCAAGTTGACGTACACTTTGGTTGCTGACCGCCCAGACATCAGGAAAGCCACTCAAGCTGCTAAGCTTGTCAGTGAGGTGAGGGTCACTTTAAAGGGTCCGTTCAAATTCTGTTCACTTACTCACCCTTGTGTCATTCAAACACACAAGACTTTCGTTCGTATAAATAGAACACTCATATATGGTTAATGGCAGCAGCAGTGCTTGACGCCCAAAACAAACCTTGTTTTTTCGGCCTTTTCTCAAGGCCGTGGAAGCATGGCAGTGGGTTTGCATTTCGTCACGAACTTCATTCCACCATGCGTTCTTGTCTTGTTCTTATTTATTTTGATTGAATAATTGATCAACAAAACATTGATTAAAATTAAGATCAAAATGATACAATACGAAATTTGTTCTAAAGAACTAAATACAAGACCAAAGCAACAAGTTACACTCTTGGACATGACAAGAGTGAACTAAAAACAAACTAAAGAAGACTTTCCGCAAAACAAAACTTATGAAGTGGACAAAAATTGTGTCTGACCCTCTTCATATCTCCCGACGTATCGCCGTCCAATTCATTATCACGCCCTTTATGACGTTTATAACTTACACAATTTTCTTTCATAATTAACATTAAATTGAAACAAAACAAATAATATTATAACATTTAAACAAATATAAAACATAAATGTATTTTCTTAAATGGCTATAACAAACCTTATTTGTTCTCACACATTTAGCAACACATTTGAGCTTCCGTGTTTACCATATTTGATGTGCTCTATGTATGTGCATTGATCAATGTTTATATGGGAGTAAAAGCATATATTTAATCTGTTTATTATATAAAACTTTTGTTTCTCTTCTAAAGTCTTGAATTAAAAAGCACAATTCCTATCGATTTCTTTTACAATCGCTATGTACTTTTTAACATTTTTTAAATGTTTTGAGGGGAATGGACTTTCAGTGGAGGGTCAGAAATCTCTCAGGTTTCCTTAAAAATATGAACAAAAGTCTTATGGCTGAGTAAATAATGACAGACTTTTCATTTTTGGGTGAACTTTTAGTATGCAATCCTCTGTATTAAAGTCTTGACAAAAAAAACATGTATTGTTGTAATAGTAAGTAGTAATGGTTGCAAAAACTGTTCTTGTAGATCGGATACCGTGATAAGGCTCGCCAGGAGGCCAGCCGTGGTGGAACGCTGCTTGGCCGTCCTGATATCACCCTGGCCACTGAGGTGTCCAAACTGACTAGTCAGGTAATACCGTTCGCAACTACACACTAGACACAATGCAATGCATAGACTTTCATTGTATTTATCGACAAGGACCACAGGGGTTTAGTTGGAAGCCACTGGATATGTATTTTGACAATAATTTCCTTACACCCTCACCATCATGGCAGCTGCATGTCATCATTATGCAGTTATATTTAAAGATAACTGTACAGTAGTAGTAGATTCAAATGCCTCAGCAGTGCTTCTCATGCCCATCAGCATTAATACTGTCATTGTCTATGTGAGCCCTGAGTGTCTCTTGTAATCTGTACCACCCCCCATCTGCTCACTGCTCTCTATCTGCCCTGTATTTATTCATGTCTATCCAGCTGACTCTTTCCTTTCTCTGTAATCCATCCATCTGCTCATTCATAAATTCATTTTCACTGTTCTGTCCCATCTCATTGATGTTACCCTGCCATTTCACTGCGCTTTTTAGGTGGAGGAAAATCCATCTCTCCATGGCGCTGCCTCCTTTGACACTCCTCAGATGCGGCACATTAAGAAAATGAGTGCCCTGACTAGTGATGTAAGAAGGGTCCCTGGCCCCTGGGGGCAACATTTGCACTTCATTTGCACTCTGTCTGGTGTCTGTTCTCTTTCCCTCTGACTCACCTAGTTGTTGAACTCCAGTGGCACTCAATTTGATAAGATATCATGAAGATTTCTGGGTCCTGCAGACATTGAAATATTTTTGTTGGTTTTCAGTGGTTTTGCCCACTCAACTTTACATTCCCACCCATTTTTATTTTATTTATTTTTTTGTGTCTCTGATTTTGTCTCTATTTGTGTTTGTCATGCAAGCTTTTGCCTTGTTGCCTAAGCATAGGCTTATAGGGCAGCACTCTGTCACAGTTTTTTTTCCTCATCAGTAGAATTTTTGCCCCCATTTATTTGCCTGGCATGCAGATTGTTTAATCTCTTATCTCTCAAATTGTCAGAACTGGTGTCCGGTTTTCTGTTGCATTCCTTTGGCGTGCTGTTGTATTGAGGAGTGTGCAGATTCAATAAGCAACGCTATTATTCATTAGCTATGAGGTGTACAGAATTAAATATTAAATAACTCATGTCACTGCTGTTTTACAGACCAAAAACACACTTGACACAGCTGATGATTGATTTTATTTTATGCCGTATTTAAAGCAACCATTTGGTCTACACACTCCTCGTGACTCTCTTTGCTTGATGTCATAAATTTGATTCCTCCACAGATCTGGAGATTTTTCAGAATCTCTGGGAAAAGATTCAACCTCTCTACCACCTTCCCTTCAGTTAAAGCTGAAGTGTGTCATTTTTCTTTAAGTAGGCCACTTTAAAGTGATTTTTCACCCAAAAATAAAAATTCTTTCATAATTTACTCACCCTCATTTCCGTAAGACTTTTGTTCATATTTGAAACAAAAAGATATTTTGTGTTAGTTTAGGTTGGGATTTACTGTTGTTCGACCAATGACAGACAAACAAAGTATTCAGGAACCTTTTTGAGCACAAAAACTACTTTAGCAATAGAGTGCAACAGTCAATTTCCGGAAGTAAAAATCCCATTCATTTTCTCCATAGGGGAATTGATTTTTAACAAAAACTTACAAAGCTTTAAAGACAGACCTACTGTGAGCTACCAAGTTGTAAACTGCTGGTATGTGCATCTGCTGAAGCCATCAGTAGATTTCAATTTATTTTTAAATAATAATGTTTAACATCGAAATTCCTTGTGAAAAAATTACATTTCCAACGATTCTGCAAAAATTAAACCAATCAGGCAATTGAAAGCAGCAAAAAGATATTTTGTGTTAGTTTGGGGCAGGATTTTCTGTTTGTTCGACCAATGGCAGACAAAAAAAGTATTCATAAACCTTTTTGAGCACAATCACTTTAGCACCCACCCACTCCCATAACAAAAAGTACACAGTATTGTACCTTTGTCCATTTTACTTTTTTGCTTCAAATTCATGTTGAAGATTCATGTTGTGATTTACCTTGAATAACTCTTTAACACCTAAGACTTTTTTTTAAAATCCCTATGGGAAAAATAAAATGTGAAAAAATACTTCCCAGCACCAAGGCTGCTGACAAGTAGACTATTGCAATCTATTGGTTCAGTGATGCTAGTGGCACAGAAATCACACACTTCGGGTTTAATATGAAAAAAAGTATATGTTGATGTGATGCTTTTGAATGCTCCGATATTTATGTTGGTCTTCCCCTTTGGGGCAAGTACAGTGTGAACATGATCTGATACTGTATTAGACCCAACTGAAACCCTGTTGTAACGTGACTCTTCAGTGTCACTTTCTTTCCCCTGATGATTGCATGAAACCATTCATTTGATATTCATGTCTGTGATTTTGCAAGCATTTTGGCACCATGTGACAGAGATCAAAACACTACCAGCAACTAACAATGGTGCTGTCCTCTGTCAAAAGGTGAAGTACAAGGAGAAGTTTGACAAGGAGATGAAAGGAAAGAGACCACAGTATGATTTGAAGAACAGCAAGATTTACCAGACTCTGAAGGATGCCAATGAACTTGCAAGCGAGGTGTTTTAATCTTTTAAAAACATTATGAACTGTATTTTACCAAGCACATATCACATTGAGAGTGTTTCATATCATGGTGCATTTTTGCATGTATATATCATGCAGGTGAAGTACAAAGGTGACCTGAAGAAGATTCACAAACCTGTTACGGACATGGCAGAGTCTCTGTCCATGCAGCACAACCTGAGCACTAGCAAGCTGTCCAGTGACGTAAGAGCTCTACAGACGGCTTCATTTCCCTCTCATCAAAACTGCTTTACCTCACACACTGTAACAGTGAAATATAACATCTTCATGTAATATCACAAGATCCATCTATCATCCTTATAGAAAGCCCTCATTTAAACTATTTACTCATTCCAGGCTATCATTTGGTAGTGACCCTCATCTGATTTTAAACGTACTGCTACTAGCATTAGACTTTAACAATCTCCATTTTTGCTCACACGTGACCCTAGTGCTAGTCTTTTCTTCTTCTTCTCCTTCTTTTTTAATTAACACGCCTACTGCCTAAAAGCGCTCTAACATCTAATTTTTTCCATTTTTTACTTTAACAACATTCCCTGCTTAATCTCTCTTCTCTGGATGCATTTTTTTCTATCTACCTTTTTAATTCCCATTAAAATGTGTGCATAATAAACTAGAAAAGGAAAGCCTACCAATGCAAACCTTGAATGTTTACATAGTTTTATCTGAACATTTAAAAAGGTTATTGTTATGGATAACAATTGGGCTGTTTGAAGTTGGAAGTTATAAGTCTTTTGTAGACTTAAAAACTGGACAGTTAAAAAAATTGGCAAAGGGTTTATATGAAAATCATTTTTAAGGATATGTAGATTGAATACTTGGACACTTCAAAGAGAGATTTGAAGTTGGAATTTTACATTTGCTTTATCAGGGTTGCCAACTCTCACGCATTTGGCGTGAGACACGCTTTCAGGCTCTGTCTCAACGCTTTCACGATGCCCATGTAAATCTCACGCCAAATTGGCAACCCTGCTTGTGATATGAAACAAAGTCTCACCTTTCAAATTGTGTAAGTTTTAATACGAGATTCAAACAATAAATACAGTTTTGGCGCACTTAATGTGGCGCAATTCGTTGTAGCGCCTCAGTTAAAGCCAGAGCCATTGAAAAAACAGAGTTGCGACATGCCTCATTGATTTCGCCGGCATCGCCGCCACGCGGTCACGTTAAGCTAAGCTAAACTTAAAAGTTGGCAACCCTGTTTATATAACAAGTAAAACCAAATATATTGTTATTTATCTATTGCACAAAAGCAACAAGAACAACTAATATAAAATAAAAATGATTAACAGGCGGAAGCATCGGCAGAGTTTCTATTTATAACACGTGTTTGCAGCGTTGAGCAATGTAGCCAATCACAGGCATATCTGTTGATTTCTGGAACGCAATGGCCAATCAGAAGTGTTTAAGTTAGAATCCACTCAGTCAACGCTCAAAAAGCCGGAGTTCTTGAGCGGTACTGAAATTTGCGTGATCACGAATCCTCTTATTATAACACACGAAGTGTAGACATTAGCCTATAAAAGATTCATTGTGCATATATTCATTGTGTTATAACAGAGTTTTGTGAGATAGCGATGAACTGAGATGTCAGCTTTTTAGTGATTATAAATGGAGCGCTCGTTGCCAAACCATGCACGCAGCAGCCCATTCTTGCTTTTCTGTTAAAAATAACTGGTTTGTGAATGTTGATGCTTTAATAACAAATATTTTTATCGGGAGCGTTTATGCTGGGATGTTATAGCTAGGCGACATGGAACTTACTATTTCATGGATGTACTGGGGGGGAAAAAATATATAGGCTACATTTATGCGGGACAAAACATGAATGTTGCGGGCTGGACAAGATAACACATTTATGCGGGAGCGGGACTGAAAAATCCGTCCCGCGCAGGTCTCTGGTGTCAAGTTTGGTGGACACAGGAATGACTTAATGCATTATCAAAGGAAGTCTTAAGAGATTTTGGGTAATTTTATGGCCCGCTATGGGTAAAATGTACATCTGATGAATTAGAATCAATATAACATACTAAGTAACAACAGTCTGTAGGTTTGTTCTGGTGTGGTTTGAATGCTCTAGGAGTGGGTTTACTCTTGGGTTAGATTTTAGTCTTGGGTTAGCAATTTTGATATTAGAATATTTAATATAATAATATTTAGTATTAGATCATTTGACTTTAGATAATTTGAAGTTTACAACATTTTGTCAATATACAGCCTCCTTCATGTTATGTGAACATGACAGTCATTAGTCTTTGTTTTTGGTGCCCACTTTCTTTTTCATTTTTTGGCCATTTTTGGCCTTTTTAACATGGGAGAGATGAAGCATTGGATTTCCTTTTTGTTTTATTGAGCTGCTTTATTGGCCGTTCCTCTTTAGTACCAGTACAAGAAGAAGTTTGAGGAGAGTAGGGGTCACTACCATATGATACCCGACACACCTGAGCAGCTTCACCACAAAGAGGCCTCAGAGCTGCAGAGTCAAGTAAGTCACATACAGTTCTGGAGCTTTCCGCAGCCGGTCATCTGCTTCTCTGTGTGTGAAACAAAGACTGATTCTACACATATTGGACCTGTTTATTTAATTTTATCCACCTTGTTAGACTCATGCAGCTATAATAGATTTATTTATCATTTACATTTTATTTGTTTGGGTTAGCTTGTCCTGTAAAACTCCTTTACAAGGAATCGTTTCAACATTATGTAAGAACAAAGCTGTAAAAACACGTCACTTCATCATTAAAACCTCAGACATTTTATATTGTGAAAACACCATAAACATCCAGTGTTTTTAATGAATTTTCCACACTGTAAATCCTATAGTAAACTCTGTTCTCAGTCTCAGTGCTTAGGAACATATATGGCAGATTAATTGTCAACCAGTAAAAAAAAAAATACAGCACAGACTCTACAAAAATATTCAGTATGCAAGCAAAGCTTTGGTGTTTGCTTAACAAGCATTAGTAAACCATTAAATGAATCAGCTTTTTTTTTTTTTGTTATATGTTCCTCACCTTTGGGCTTTTGTCTGACTACAGGTGAAGTATAAGGAGAAATATGAGAAAGAAAGAGGCAAAGCCATGCTGGACTTCGAGACTCCTACTTATGTAACTGCTAAGGAGGCTCAGCATCTCCAGAGTCAGGTAAATACTGCTGCCCAAGCTTATTGTATTCACTGCAGAACAAATGGCAGCATATATATTGCTCAAGTATTCTTTATAACCCAGAGTGAATGACTGAGAAATGCTAAGTGGAATTCAAACACTGTGCTTTTATGTGGATACAAATATTGTAATGCTGGTAAGTAATTGGGACACCACAATTTCCAACCAAGACCCATGGATTTATGGTAGGCGTTTATGTGTGTCATGTATTTATAGTTTTACAACTGTTTTGATAGTTTCAATGTACATACAACACATTGATGGGAGAAAGCAGTTTAAGTGAACATCAAGATACTCAAAACATTATGACCATGGTGTACTGGACCCGTATTCCAGAAGCTTCATGTATCTCTCACTCTTCTATCTTTGCGGTGGATAGAAAGAGTATAAGAAGGACTTTGAGATGACAATGAAAGGAAAGAACCTCTCTGGGTTGGAGGTCACCCCTGCCATGATGCATGTCAGACACGCCACGAAAATTATTAGCGAGGTAACATGAAGCCCTTATATTCTCTTCCTTCTATCCTGGTAATAATACTAAGACCACATACACGTAATAATCCTTACATGAGTGTCTTTGAAGTTTCCGTTACACCCGAGTAGGTTTTGGTTAGTATGCATGAACCATCCTTCCGCTGTAATACACTTCCCCTTCCAACATCTCTGTGTGTGTGTGTGTGTGTTTGTGTTTTCTTTTTTTTTTTTTTTTTTTTCTTCACAAGGTTCCCACAGTAATGGAAAACCTGGAGATATTAGGAAATTTAGTTCCAGGCCAGGAAAAGTTGTGAAAACTAACAAAGTTCTAAAAAGTTATGCTTGGCCCAAAATGTATCATTGTGTCTCTTTTAAAATTATTATTAGAAATTAATTGAATTTCAATGAACAAAGGGTGTGGGAACCCTGTTATTAATGTTTTTCTTAATAACAATCTATTATGGTCATGTATCTTGGATTTTTTTTTTTTTTTTTTTTAAACCTACTTCCACTCTACTTCAGTTATCCTGAGCATGCACATTAAATAACATGTTATTTTATTTTATGTTACATTTTATTTTAAAATAACCTCTTTAGATCTTGGTTACCCTGAGCATGTACATGAAAACATTTAATCTTATTACATATATATTTTAGTATATTTTAACCTCTAGATCTTGGTTTGGCTTCAAATCATATGAATGTTGCTACAAAAAGAATGTACATGTTAAAGAGTCTCAGAAAATGTTTTTTTTTTTATGTGTTTTTTTGTCAATATTCTTGCCTGTGAGATTTTTGATAAACATTGTTTATGTCTTTATCAGGTTGCTTTTCAAACTCAGCAATGCCTTTGCTCTAAGTAGATTATGCTCAGTTACTTTATTGGTGTATGGAAAGCATGCACCTTGATTATATGGATGTGAAGCTTTAAGTCATACCCAGAGTAAATGCTTGGTGACGTTGAAATGACAGTGAGTGCAGTACTGCACCAGCGAGGAAGGGGTGAAGGGTAAAGGGCTTACAGTGCTGGAGGAAACTCCTGAGTTACTGAGAGCAAAGAATGCTACTCAGATCCTTTGTGAGGTAGGATGGCTATCTTACCTGCAGTCCTCTGCCTCAACTCCACTTCCTCCTCAACACACTAATCAGGCAGAAATGAGTCCATTTGTCTCTTGCTAATAAGAAAACTAATCAAGCTAATGGAGTTTCCCTGTGATGCGCCATCTAACTAGGTTTGGTAAATCAAGTCAACTCATCCCATTGAGACTCCCCCTAAATGTCATTTTGTCTTTCTGTTCTAAATGACCTCCCTTATATATATATATATATATATATATATATATTTTATTTGTATTTTTTATTTTTTTTTTCATTTACAGCTCCGATGTTAATATCTTCTTATTCTTTTTATTGTGTTTGTAGCCCACAGGAATGTTTCTTGGTGTGATTGTAAAGATCACTGATAAACAAACATATGTACATGGTCACATTAGTATGATATGTTTGCCTAATACCTGCAGAGAGAGTACAAGAAAGCACTGGAGCAAGAGATCAAGGGAAAAGGCATGTTGGCTTTGGCTACTGACACTCCAGACTTCTTGAGGGCAAAGAATGCCACAGAAATCCTCAGTCAGGTACACAAATGATCTCTGACCCATAATTCCAGTATTTCAGAGATCATTCCCTCAACTATCAGCACCAACATTTCAACACTGATTGATACATTCATTTGATTTGAATTGTTTTTCCAGGCCAAGTACAAGCAGAATGCTGAGCATGACAGAGCCACATACACCACAGTCATTGACACCCCTGACATCCTCCACGCTCAGCAGATCAGGAACATTGTGAGCCAGGTATGAGGGTTGCCTCTTTGAAAAATGCTATTGGTTTTTTTTGTGTAAAATTTGTACGTTTTAATGTTTGTTGCATGTGTGTTGCTAGAAAATTATAAATTCAGACAAATAAGGGATTCAAACAGTAGACACGTTCTGGTAACAGTTCATATATTTTTTCAGCTTGACCTCTTGAGGTTGACAATGAACAGTTTCTGAAGGTTATTCACCATTATTTTCACTATTTGTTGAAAATGAAACAAAAAGACTTTTAGACATTTTTAAAAGTATTAGGCTGTTTTTTTTTTTTTACCTTATTAATGGAAAGTGATAAGTCTTTAAGCTATCATCCAGTGCCTCTGTTTTTATAACTGTTTTATGAAAGATATTGTTGATTATTTAAGTGTAATCTCATGAACAACTAAATTTTGTCAACTCAGAATCTCTGTGTTTTATCTTATAGAAAAAGTACAAGGAGGAGGCTGAAAAGACTATGTCCCACTATGTGCCTGTGTTGGACACTCCTGAGATGCAAAGAGTGCGTGAGAACCAGAAGAACTTCAGCACTGTAAGTGTTTCTTCAAGGGTTTGAGCCAGTCCATTTTATGTCTGTTCAGTCCATATAATGTTCCTGTTTTATTCATCTTAGCTTAAAAGTGATATTTGTACCATTTGTTGTCTTTGGTCCTTGTCTTTCCTGTTTGTCTAAGAAATAAAAATAAAAGAGTAGGCAGATTCCACATTTCTTATGCTGGTTAGTTACAGTAGTTGTCTATATCGCAATTCTCTCGAATGATTTTGAACATTTTTGGTTGCACTGTTTTCTCTTGCTGCATTATTGTGTCATTTTTGACTGCCTTTGTGCTCTTTTCTTTTTAGCTTCAGTACCAGATTGACCTTAAAAACAGTAAGGGCAAAGTTTCAGCAGTAAAGGACACCCCTGAAATGCTTCGTGTTAAAGAAAATACAAAGAATTTCAGCTCGGTACCTACTGCCCAATGAGGTTTTTTTTTTAACATTCTAACAACAAACCTTTTTTTGGTCCTTTTTCTGTTCTCATTTCTTGCTTTACACCACCTTTTCCTTTTTTCTGTACTGCAACCACAAGTTAACATTTCTTGTTAACTCGTTTTATATCATGTAAATGTAGATATCCTAAACAGACCTTAGTCTAATGTAGTCATTAACTTGTAGTCATAAACTAGCAAAGCCACTAACGGTAATCATCAAATTTGATGCTGTTGACCTTTCTTCATCCTAAACAATATCTCTAACCATTTTACAAGCTTAATATTTACATATTTGACATCTTTCTTGTGTTGCTGTCTTCTACGGAGCCCCTAAAGGGACATGGTGGTGGAAAAAAATCAGATTGAGTGAAAAAATTTGGGGTGGGAGGAAAAAATATTTGTCAGATTTTTTGCGTTCTCTCGCAAAACTTTTGCGTTCCCTCGCAAAACTTTTGCGTTCTCTCGCAAAGATATTTGCGTTCCCTCGCAAAACGCAAATATCTTTTGCGAGAGAACGCAAAAGTTTTGCGAGGGAATGCAAAATATATTTGCGAGAGAACACAAAAGGGAACACAAATATCTTTGCGAGAGAACGCAAAAGTTTTGCGAGGGAATGCAAAGTGGAACGCAAAGTTTCTCGAGGGAACGCAAAAGTTTTGCGAGGGAATGCAAAAGTTTTGCGAGGGAACACAAAATATCTTTGCGAGAGAACACAAAAGGGAACGCAAATATCTTTGCGAGCGAACGCAAACGTTTCTCGAGGGAACGCAAAAGTTTTGCTAGAGAACGCAAAAGTTTCTCGAAGGAACGCAAAGGTTTTGCGAGGGAACGCAAAGTTTCTCGAGGGAACGCAAAAGTTTTGCGAGGTAACGCAAAGTTTCTCGAGGGAACGCAAAAGTTTTGCGAGAAAACGCAAAAAAAAAATTTCCTCCCACCCCGAATTTTTTTCCCACCCCAATGTCCCTTTAGGGGCTCCGTAGTCTTCAATGATGTGTGTTTGAAATGTTTTTGTTTTTTTGTTTGTCCTTTTCTCAAATGTTGAGTCTGTTTTTTATGTTGCAAGAGCACATTCTGAAGCGTCCCCAGACAAAACAAATGAAAACTACTTATCCCAAGAGATAACAAAAACAAATGTTAATGCCTCCTTATGCTTGTACAATCCCAAAGATCCAGTACAAGGAGGAGCTTGGGCAAGGAACAGCCATATCTGAAACCCCTGAGATGGAGAGGGTTAAACGCAATCAGGAGGCTGTTAGCACGGTACACTGCGGTGTGACCCCATCATTCACCCTGCTTCCTGTTGGAGTGTCTCCAAAATGCCTCCTGATTTTAATCAAAATACTGTCAGCATCCTAAGAAATTTAATATCAAACACAAACAATCATTTTAATATATACCATCTAATATCAAGTTATAATTGTAACGTTTCGCTGAGTTGAAATAATAGCCACTTCCTCTCATCATTTTAAATAACCTAAAATAACATGGCCCATACATTTATCCATCTTCATTTGACACTGGTCCCAAGACTTGACTAGTGCTGCATTGTTTAAAACACTCAACCTCTCTTTTCTTCTTAATCTTACGCATATGTGTCGATACTCTGTCTTTATCACACCTGTTCCATGCTCCTAATGGACTGAAATGTGTATTAGATTAAATACAGGGATTCCCTAAGGCAAGGCATATCTATAGCCGACCTTCCTGAGGTGAAGCGTGTACGGGAAACTCAGAAGAACATCAGCTCGGTAGTGTTTTTTCTCTTTAAAGAAGACTTCTTGTTTAGACAAATTTATACTCTCGTTCTTTAATATTCTTTAAGTCTCATTTCACCTTTCTTCAAGTTTTTTATGGATAAACATCCCAAGATAACCCCCCCCCCCCCACTATTTTATTTTATGTTCATACACTACTATTTAAAAGTTTCTGGGGTCTTAGTTTTTGAAAGAATTCTCTTCAGCAAGATTGCATTTGTTTGCATTTGTGAAAAATACAGTAAAACCAGTAATACTACGAAACATTATTACAGTTTAAAATAACTGTTTTTGAATAGAAAGTTCAAAGGAACAGCATTTATTTGAAATTAAAATCTTTGGAACATTACAAATGACTCCAAACATTTGAACAGTAGCATTTATGTCTCATACCATATATAATTACTCTACTACTTTTCTTTCTATAGCTTGAGATCCATGTTTTTTTTCTTTACATTTTACATTTTCTTCAATTTTGTTTTCAGGTGTTTTATGTTTTATTTCAACAACATTTTGTCTTTTGGTTTTACTTATTAATATTCAAAAGATTATTGACATTTTTACCTTTTTTGCCCCATTGCCTCTACATGCTTAAAGATCCAATACAAGGAAGATTTGGGAGTAGGAACAGCTATTTCAGAAACCCCAGAGACGGAGAGAGTTAAACGCAATCAGCAAAATATTAGCACGGTACACTATGGTGTGACCCTCTATCCCACCCCTAAAACATTCCCTGTTCTTCGTCTCTCCATCATCTAAGAAAACCTTTTAGCCTCCATCTGTTTATGCTAGTCCCTCTAGTGACCCTAGGAATAAGTCACTGCATCAAATCCATCATTTATAACAATATGTGTAACTCTCATCTAGCTCATGTGACAAAATCCTGTTTTCCCTTTTTTCAGTAATACTTGGTATATACTGTATGTAGATGTAGGCTAATAAATAATTAGCAACTGATTCTTTCATGTAATAATTAGGTACCAAACCATAAACTTTACTTCAGTTATTGTTTTTTATTTATTTGTTTTACAAACCTTGCAGGTAATATCTAGTTTTAATTTTGTATTATCAACAACATTATCGATTACTTAACAACGCAGTTGCTTTGCTCCAAAACCTAACAAGCTGCCTATGCAGGAAGCATTTTAAAGCATCATAAGCACGTTTCTGGTCCAAAATCTGTTTTGGCACCTTTATGTAATTTTATGCTTTCTTTTGTAACATGAATATGAAGCAGTTGCTTATGTAGAGATGTACAAATATGCCACTTATGGGCACTTAAAATCAAATTTTAGAAGGCAGCTGCCTATTTAGGCATCTAAGGGTTTGGAACAGAGCTAATATTGTTGTGTATGTTATCTTTGTGAATGTTCATACTTTTGCTGTTTTGGTTCATGTTTGTGTTGTTTATTTGATATGTCGAAATTAATCCTTGGGTAGATAAAATACAAGGATTCGCTGGGTCAAGGCACAGCCATACCGGACCTCCCCGAGATGAAGCGGGTCAAAGAGAATCAGAAGCACATCAGCTCGGTAGTGGAAGCTCCACAGGGTTTACTTGAGAGTGGCTCTGATCCCATTAACGCTTCCAGTATACTTCTTCATTTCCAACTTATACAATCCCATCATTTATGCAAAACAATTGAAGCATATGAAACGTAATGCTTAAACCCCATTTTCATCTAATGTAACTGACCACATCATATTCCACCCTAGCGAGGTCCCCTTTCTGCTGTGAATTCAAATTTATGGGATTATTCAACTCCAGACATTGTTGCTAATCCAACACCAGATGAGCTCTTGTATCCCACATTTGTTGTTTTCCCTTCCCAACCAGGTTCCTATTTTTAAATATGGGATATAAGCTCATTGTGCTTTGTGTGTGATGTTTGATGTGACTGCTCTACAAAGACTCTTGCGTCCGTCATAGTGTTCAGTGTCTGACTGGCCTCTGGGGGGCGCTGTTCTTTTCTGCTCTAGGTCTTGTATAAGGACCTTTCTGTGAAGGGAACGCCTGTGGTGTTCACACCAGAGATGGAGAGGGTCAAACGGAACCAATTGCAGATTAGCTCGGTACTCACAGCCACAGGACATGAGTGTGTGTGTGAGACGTGTAAATGTAACCACTCTAATACCTTCATTTCACTTAGGAGGCTAATAATATTAACTGTACTCTTCCATATGCTGAATTTAATTCTGTAACTGATCATCATCACTACAAACCTTCATCTCAGGACCCATCTACCTTTAATCCAGCCCTCTGAAGATCCCTCTAATTCATCTGTCTGAAATCACAATAACACCTTGGGTTGTGTTGATGGATGTTATATTCATGTCTTTTGTCTGTCTAATGTCCTGATTTCCTGGCGTGTCTTCCACAGGGTCTTGACACATAATCATAATCCAGAATGATATGGTTTCTAATATGTTGTCTAATGTGTTGTCTTTTGTCCAGGTTCTGTACTCGGACAGCTTCCGTAAGCAGGTGCAGGGTAAGGCCGCATTTGTGCTGGACACCCCTGAGATGAGACGTGTTAAAGAAACTCAGCGTATCGTCTCTGGAGTAAGATGACTTTTATATCTTGACCTTTAGCAGTATATTGCAAGGAAATGATTTTTCTGTATTTTATGAAGGTCAACCTGTTGCATTCAAAAATGTTTGGGAGTTGAATGTTACGAGGTTAAGGATTGGGGCCAAAAATTGCACAATGCAATATTATCTGTCAGTAGTCTTGAGAACAAAAATTCAAAGAACAGAATTTTTAAGTAAAAAAAAACCCCATCGGAAGTGTCATAAAATTAATATTCATAATCAGTTTATCAGTATGGATTTAATTTATAGTATGAGTTCAATGCTGTGCATCAAAAGACTGGAAAACACTACTCGACTTTTAAATTCTGAACAGATTTTACAACACTTTGCACTCACTCAGAAACATGCGCCTCATTGCTAGGAGACTAATGACAAATGAAAACAATATATGTTCTAAAATCATCTGAAAATATCAAACATGTTTAATGTCCCCCAACTGAATAAAATCATAGTCTGAGTCTGTGCCCATCATACACAATGGGATTTTCTGTGAAATCTGTCAAATCTGACAGCCCTGAATTCTGCAGACTGGCTCCTTCAGACGGCAAATCGGGATAAAAGTCTTGAAAGTCACCATGAAATCAAACTTGACTATTCTTATTTTTTTATGGAATATTGCAGAGCCTATTATAAATTATTTATCTGTACACATAATTTTTTTTAACTCATGTGCTCTCTAATCTTTAATCCAAAACATCAGCTTCTTCTTGCCTTAGTAACGACATCTCTTCTCTGATGACGGGACAATAATCTGTCCTCTCCAGCAACCTGTCACCCACACAAGATCATAGCCAATTCCCAATGCACAAAATCAGTTTTATTTCACTTGGATATATGTCCAAAAGGGAAGACAATCTCAATCTTCCATTTCGTGTCCACTTTGAACCTATTAAAAGCGTAGCAGTTTCTTTGTCTCCTGCCTCATGTTTTGCTGTCTGTTGTTCTTCTCAGGTCAGATACCACCAGGACTTTGAGAAGAGCAAGGGCAGCTTCACCCCCACCATCTCTGACCCTGTCACTGAGCGCGTGAAGAGGAACACCCAGGACTTCAGTGACATCAGCTACCGCGGCATCCAGAGACGTGTGGTGGAGATGGAGAGGAGACGTGCAGAGGAGCACGATCAAGAGACCACCACTGGTCAGCTGACACATACTGTGTCCTGTACACACTAAACACACTTCCTATACAGATCATACACAGGAACCAAGTGAGTTTTCAATAGAAACATTCAATAAAACTGGGTTTCCTTTTTCTCAAAGACCTGCGTGTGTGGCGCACAAACCCCGGCTCTGTCTTTGACTATGACCCTGCTGAGGACAACATACAGTCCAGAAGTCTTCACATGATGTCAGGTAGGCCACTCCTCTGCTGTCACTGGACTTAAAAGGCCTTATTAGAACAGTTCTCTGGCTGACTGTATACTGTGGATGTATACTTATCTGCCACCTTCCTTGATTGAAGACAGTCTGTCAAAGAGGAGGTAACGTTGACATGTTTGTCCCATTGTTCAGTCCAAGCCCAGCGCCGCAGTAAGGAGCACTCCCGCTCCACCAGCGCAATGAGTGGCGTGGGCGATGAGAAGTCAGAGATGTCTGAGAATGTGGACCACCATGCATCCCTCTACAGCAATGGCTTTGGTGTCTCTGCTTTACACGGTACAAGTGCTTGGTTTGTCTTCACCCTAGGTTTAGCTTGATAGTCGGCAATTTATTTTCTGAATGCGTCAATGACCTTTTTGTAAATTATTCATCCATGTGTTTCATTTTTAAAACTTTTTTTTTGTAATTTTTAATTAAAATGTTGTTACTGGTTCTTTCAGTGAAACGCTAGACTCTCTGGTGACATATGCTAGACTTTTTCAGTTATTAGATCCACTTAAACTCCACCCCTTTTTTGCAAGCTTGCATTCATTACTGAGTGAAATGCCCACATCTTAAAATCTAATCAACATCCGATGGGTAGAACCAAGTCCACATCCTACATTTTTTTTCTTTTTCAATAATTAATTTCATTCAGATGTGTCGCAATATGGAAGAGAAAGAATCTGTCAGTACTTCAGTTTCATCGCAACATTAAAGATGGACAAAAATAGATGAACAAATATTGAATAATTCAGCTTGTTATATATATATATATATATATATATATATATATATATATATATATAT